GTTTGCATAACCAATGAACACACAATCAACAATTTTTGGTCTTATCTTAGTCGTTTTAGGACTAGGGACTGCCACATTAACTAAACACCCCCACACTTTGAGGTAATTGTAGGTAGGTTTTCGACCTTTCCATAATTCATAAGGTGTTTAATTAAGTTTCTTGTGGGGTACCCTGTTAAGGATAAAATTAGCAGACAAAATTGCCTCCTCCCCACAAGTTATGAAGTAACCCTGAACTAATCAACATAGCATTCAGCATCTTTTTAAGAGTTTGATTTTTTCTCTCAGCAATTCTATTTAATTGAGAAGAATAGGGTGTAGTGGTTTGGTGAATAATATCATGTTCAGAACAAAATTCCTCAAATGGAGCATCATACTCACTACCTCTGTCACTCCAAACTATCTTTATAGTTTTGCCAAATTGATTTTCAATCTCAAGTTTATATTGCCTAAAAGCTTCTACGGCTTCATCTTTACTTCTCAATAAGTAAAGATAGTAATATCGAATGCAATCATCAATAAAAGTAATGAAGTACTTCTTACCTTCTCTAGTTTGAACAAATTTTAAATTACAAATATCTGTGTGAATTAAACTTAGAGGTTTTGTACTTCTTTCAACTTTATTAAATGGTGCCTTAATGAGTTTTGCCTCAACACAAATCTCACATTTATGATTAGGATCAAATTCTAAGTTTGGTAAACATTCTAAAGCAACAAGTCTACGCAAAGAATTAAAATTAACATATCTTAATCTACCATGCCATAAAAAAGAAGACTCAACAACATAAATAGAGATGTGTTCTTATTATTAACAGCCAAATTAGGTACAACAGTACTTACATTGAGCTTAAAAAGCCCATCACTCATATAACCTCGCCCTACATACATGCCACTCTTGGTGAGTACAACCTTATCAGATTCAAAAACTAATTTAAACCCATTCTTGATCAACAATGACCCAGAAAAGAAATTTTTGTGAATTTCTAGCACATGGAGTACATTGTTGAGCATGAGTTCCTTGTCCTTCCATAGTTGAAGTTAAGAAGTTTCCCATAAAAAGTTGTTCACAACCTTCCACCACTTTGTAGGTTGTGAACATCTTCTTATCTGCACAGATATGGCGGGTTACTCCAATATTCACCTACCACACCTTGGGATTGCCCACCAAATTTGCTTTAGAGACTACTACGGCAAGATTGATGTCTGCCACTCCATCGGAAAGATAAAAATCATCAACTATGTTGGCTTATGCTGGCTTTTTGCTTAAACTCTTTCTGTCCTTGCGAACATGACAATCCTTAGCGCGATGTCCATCTTTGTCGCACACAAAACACTTGCCTATGAACCGCTTATTGAACTCGTTGTTGATCCCTTTGATCTTACTAGTGGATCCTTGTTTGGGACTATTGTCATCATGTTTCCGCTTCTTGTTGTTGAATTTTGACTCATGTTCACGTTTCACAATATTTGCGTTAGCCTACATGACGTGGTTTCCTGACTTCTTGTTGGAACCACCGTTGTCCTCCTCAATTCTGAGCTGCACTGTCAGTTCTTCCAATTTCATCTCCTTGCGCTTATGCTTTGGATAATTTTTGAATTCTTTCCAAGATGGTGGCAATTTTTCAATGATTGCCGCTACTTGGAAAGATTCGTTGAGAACCATCACTTCCGCGTGTATGTCATGGAGAATTAATTGGAGATCTTGAACTTGGCTAATAACCGCCTTGGAATCCATCATTTTAAAATCTAAAAAACGGCCAACAACAAATTTCTTAGTACCGGCATCCTCTGTCTTGTACTTATGATCTAAAGATTCCCAAAGTTCTTTAGCAGTGCTTTTGACACTATACACATTATACAGTGTATTGTCCAACCCATTGAGGATAGAATTCCGACATAGAAAATCACTATGTTTCCATGCATCGACTGCGGCAACCACTTGCCGGTCAGTTTCTCCTTCGTCTAGTACCGGTGCTTTTTCATGAGTGAAACGAGCCAAATTCAATGTGGTAAGATAAAATATCATCTTTTGTTGCCATCTTTTAAAATCATTTCTATTGAATTTTTCTGGCTTCTCCCCATGATTTACCGGTACTGCTAGAGTCATCACTGGCACAACAGGTGTAGGGGTCGGAATAATAACAGTCTCAGTACTGTTTATTTCAGTTGTCATAATTCTAACGTAATATTAAGACACCAATCACAAATTTATACAAAAAAGAATTTACATACAAAAATATACAGAATAATATTTTGTAACAAAATTTCAATGATAAACAGTATATTACTACTATGTTATTAAAGAAATCATTAAACAATATATTACTACTATTTAATTTCCCGAAACAAAATATTCGTCTGTCTAACATAGAAAAATAAAAATCAAAAATCTACTTTAAGATTGTTATAACCACAATGGTATGTGTGCTTAAATTAAATGTATAAATTAATTAGAAAATAAAATTAATCTACTTTAAGATTGTTATAACCACAATAAAATAAAATAATTCAGAAAATAATTATATAAATTAAATTCTGAATTAAATGCTTACAGAAATTAAAGTCGAGGCTTGTGTTTGACACAATTTCCCCAAAGTAGATTTCACCCTCACTTCGGTGCTTCGAGTTTTACCGGCTTCTACTTCCTAGGATGCAAGAACTAACACTTAAATTTTCCAGCACTACAAATTCAAGTCTGGCGAACCAAAACTCTGTTGTAACTCTATTTTTTTCTTCCTAAAAATAAATGCAAAAACAGATGCAAGAGCACAAGAAGAACATAAGATAAAGGACGAAATTCTGAGGGAAAAATTGAATGCCAAAATGCTGGAATTGAAGGCCTTTTATAGTAGAAATGGTTACTATTCCGAATAGGTAGAAACCTGTTCAGACAGATTGAATAGGTGTCTGGACAGATTTGAATATGTTTGGACAGATTCAGTTTGTATTGAACAGGTATGAACCTATTCGGGTGGGTTTAAACCCGTTAGGGATCTGTTTGGGTGAAAGAAAAATTCAGGACCAATTTATTTTGAATTTTAAAACTAAAATAATAAATAAATAAATAATTACAAATGTTTTTGGCCCAAAAAGATAAGTATTGGGCTAGAAAAGCCCAACCCAACCTCACACCATGCACCAGCGCCCCAGCCCAGCTCGCCCGCCCACCCGACCGGTGGCAGCACGTGTGTGGTTTTAGTTTTGGGTCCAATGGGTCTAGCCTACTTTACCCATAACCTCACCATTTCACAAACTTGAGTACCCCTTGGGGCCTATCCCAAGTATCTTAAGCTAAAATATATAAACCCATACAAATCCATAAGCCTTTCCAATGTGGGACAAACACATTTCACAAATGTGTGAGAAACCCACCTAAATCCATTTTCACGAAACTGAAAATGCGCGTTGAATTCTCATTCATTCGAAAATGGTTTTGAATAACCAAATACACAGTTTTATTCATTACGCGGCATTAAACATGAATTTAATTAGAAACGTTAAAAATAACGCTTGGGTCGCACCTTAATTAATGCTCAAAGTTATTAAACATGAGGATTTTCTAAAGCCATTTTCTAACACTTAGTCTTTTGATAATATATACTTAGCAAGAATGGCTATATATCATAGTTCTAAATCGCGATATCGAGTAACGTAGCGGTATCGATCGCGGAGTATCGGTATTAATAGTATCGGTCGGTACGTATTGAGAATCGGGTGTTGCAGCGGTGAAATTTTAAAAACCATTTCACAGGTTCTTCAGCATTTTCTTTCTCAAACCGGTCCGAACTGGGAAATATCGGTCTGTTGCGACTTGTGTAACGGTTACAGACTGATACGTGTTGGAGACTTAGCTGATTCTCTTGCAATTTTTGATTTCAATAATAAACTGACCTGTATCCGTCACAGTGTTTTATTTTTCGATACGAACCGATCGGTACGTAGCATATCAGTTGGTTTTTAGAAGTATGCTATATATCACATGTTTTTGTTATCATTTCATATTATCGGACATTTGGTAAGATATTAATTTTTTTCATTAATTCATTATAATTATTTCCAAATAAAAAATAAATAATAAATATGTGATACAAAATAGCGATAAAAATTTGATCACGTAAAAATTATTAGAAGGAATATTCTATGAGGAATTTGACACAACTTTTTAGTGCATCACCATCCACGCCTTGAAAGTTAACACGCAGTAGCTCAATGTTTAAACAATTAACCCATCAAAGTTGCTTTATTACTTCATATGATTGAATACACTGATAGAGACCCAAAAAATAATAAATAAAATTGAAACTCTATATTATTCATGGCACCGAAATGCATTGATTACATTTATAATTTTCCCAACCAACAAATGAATCTCAACCCCCCTTCTAAGATAATCTAAAATAACAATTTCAAAAAAAAAAAAATCCCAACCCCAACCCCAACCCCAGCACCTCCATATCCATATGATCTACTTTCCATTTGCATTTTCTTGTATCTCTCGATGTTCAAACACAGAATTCTCTTTACCTTTGTGCATCAAAAGATTTCTGTATCCACAGGTCTCGAGTTCGAGTCACACCTTGGGGCCACTGGAGGTTTGCCCGGTCGTTAACTTCAGGGCCCTGAGATTAGTCGAGGTGCGCGAAAGCTGGCCCGGACACCCATATCCATATGATCTACTTTCCATTTGCATTTTCTTGTATCTCTCGATGTTCAAACACAGAATTCCTCTTTACCTTTGTGCATCAAAAGATTTCTGTATCTCAAGAATTTTAATAAGACAGATTTGAGAATGGGATGATGACATTTCAATGCCAATATGGTCTCGAAATGTAGATCAAATTAAAAATTGAGAGAGAGAATGGTGAGCAGAGTGTGACCGACATTAGCTTTTCAATGTGACTGGGTTCCTAGTCACATGGGGCACAGTAGTGGGTCCAAGACGAGTCACGAGGTCCATGTTCAGGAAAGAACCAAAGCGATTTGATGAGGCAATACACATATGATAACAACACCCAAATTCTGACAAAGTTAGGTGGTTCTTGTTTGTAAGTAAGGTAATGGGATATTGATGATGAATCAAAGCAAAAGTTAATACTAGTATTATTAGTAGTATTAGTTGTTGTAGTCAGAAGATTTTCGCAAAATAAGATACAGATATAAAATATTTTCATATCTGTATATCATATTTTGTAAAAAAATCTTCTATATATGTAGATTTTTTTAGATGTGACAACAAAGAGGATCGAACGAGTTAGAAGAGCTGCGAGAACCGCCATACGGCAGTCGTGATGGTGACAACACCGGCAATGGATTGAGAAGAAAACATATGGGACCACGGGTACAGCGACGATGCACTGCTAGTATCCGATGCACCTTCGTAAAGCATCGTGCTGTTGATTTCTGGTGTGTTCGATGATGCTACCGGGTTTTGTCCTGATGATGATTTTTGGCTGCATCATATGTAAAATTTTAACTGTTAGATTAGCATAGAAAAACCTTGAATACATTACATAGTAAACATTCCTTTCACGTCAAATATGATGCTCAGAATGATCTCATTAAGTCGGTTGTTGAGTATCGCCGACACTACAACGCAAGTTTGCTAAAATTTATATTATTGTCAACTTGATATTTTTAAAGTAAAAGAATATCAAGTTTTATCTTCATATTAACGATAGAGCTATGCATGTGATCAATTTTCGCAAAGTCGCTTTCATTTTTCTTTTTCTCTATAAATCTTTCTTTAGATAATGTTCGGATTATGGTGCTTTTGAGGAATTTATGAATAAAAAAAGGAAATAAAGGAAAAAGTTTTTTTTTTAAAAAAATACATATATTTGTAACTCTAAATAAAATGATATTTATTCCTATATTTACTTTACTATTTTATTTCATATTTTATATATTCATGCAAAACATCATGCTATACCATATGCAAGTTATGATAAATATATATTTTTTAATTAAAATTAAAAAATAATAATAATAACAACCAAACGTCACATAAGATATAACTATTTTTTTTAAAAAAAAAAACTTATAACCAAAATAATATAATAATTAAAATCACAATCATAAATATGCATACTTTCAATTAGTTGATCAAAATGACTTTTCCAATAACATTGTATTTGATTGAAGGAATGGAAAGAGAAAATAAAATACAACCCTACTTTTTATTTAATTATAATAAAAAACACAAAGAAAAAGAAAGAGAAAGAAATACAATATCACTTTTGCATTTTACCTTTACTTAGACTTCTTTCATTCTCTATTCCTATCTCAACCAAATATAACTTGAAATTTGAATACTCTATTAGTTCTTTCTTATTTATTTATTTTTTTCTATTTCTCTTTCACTTTCCATTACCCTTATTAAATTCTCAAACTAAACACATCTTTCTTATTTATTTATTTTTTTCTATTTCTCTTTCACTTTCCATTACCCTTATTAAATTCTCAAACTAAACACAATTTAAAGAGAGATTATGAGTTAAACTCTCCCTATGTAGAGTTGAATTTAAAAGGACAAGCACCAGGTACAATTTGATAATTAATAATTAACATTTGCCAATCAAATTTTTTTTTATAACTATTATTATTTTTTTGTAAGGAAGGTGAATATAACACAAAAAATTATTTAATACTTTTAGAGTGTTACGTATTCATATTCTTTTATTAATCATATTCCATATTTTTTTTTTACTTTTCAATCACTTGACATAAAATTATATATATATATATATATACAATTATAACACTTTAAAATAAGATGAATTACAAATACACCCTTTGAGGCTTGTTTAAAGTACAGATTGTCTCATGTGGTTTGAAAAATTACAAATACCATTGTTAGTATTTTTTATTTAATAGAATTAACTAAAAAAATAATATTCATAATTACTCTCATATACAATAATAAAATTACCTAAATTATTAATTGAAATATATTTATAGCATCATTAAAAATTATTAATTGATTTGATAATTTATAAATAAAAAAGATGATTCATTATAAAATTAGAAACCTTAAGAGTGGAATGTAATTTTTAAAATTACAAAAAATAATTTATAATTTAACCAAATCTAAAAGATATATTTATAATTTATTTTTTAAAATACTATGTGACCGTCCTTCAGACTATCGTAACCACTCATGTAGCTTTTGCACACTTTAATCGAGATATAGGGGGTTGCCTACTGGTTCGCGCTAAAATTGACCGTTGCAAAATCGGGGCATTGGCACTGAGGTAAAATCATGGGAGTGTGTGCCAGTTTCGTGTTTGTTGAAACGGTAACATTTCCTGTATTAATTAATAATTATGATATTATTATTAATTTTATTTATTAATTATATTATAAATATTAAAAAATTTTAAATTATGTAATGTTTTAAAAAATTGGTAAAAAATTAATTTTTTGATTTTTTTAATCTATTTTATTTTTTTGTGAATAAAAAATATAAGAAATGATATGACTTAAAATGAATAAAAAAACTAAATATTATTATTTTTTTCTTTTCAAAAGATCCCTATATCAAATCATTAATTAATACATTAATTAATAAATAAATTAAGGGCAAATTACATTACCTTCCTCGAGGTTTAACTAAATTAATAATATTTCCTGAGGTTTCGAAAATTACAAATACCCCTTGAGGTTTATACTTTCATAACAAATTGTTTCCTGAAGTTTATATTTTCATAATAATTTATCTCTAATTTATTATGTAAATAATACTTTAAAAAAATATCTGTAATTTTATTAAATCTCAAGAATATATGTAATTTATCCATAAATATTAATATATGTATATATCATTATTCTGGCATCCAAATAAACATGCTCAAATTGTAAAAAATAACCTCTCGATTTAAATATTTTTTTTCGATGTTATCTTTCATTGTTTTCTATCTACCACAAGACTTCTCAAATTTGAAGCAACAACGCAGCCAACAATAAATCACAACTTTATTATCGCTGTACGGGGAGCAAATATTCAGGCAAGCCCGTACTCCCTTCTTCCAAGCTCCGCTTCTATCCGATCACCTGCGTACACAAAGGCGGTGAGCTACCCTTAATTAATAATTATGATATTATTATTAATTTTATTTATTAATTATATTATAAATATTAAAAAATTTTAAATTATGTAATGTTTTAAAAAATTGGTAAAAAATTAATTTTTTGATTTTTTTAATCTATTTTATTTTTTTGTGAATAAAAAATATAAGAAATGATATGACTTAAAATGAATAAAAAAACTAAATATTATTATTTTTTTCTTTTCAAAAGATCCCTATATCAAATCATTAATTAATACATTAATTAATAAATAAATTAAGGGCAAATTACATTACCTTCCTCGAGGTTTAACTAAATTAATAATATTTCCTGAGGTTTCGAAAATTACAAATACCCCTTGAGGTTTATACTTTCATAACAAATTGTTTCCTGAAGTTTATATTTTCATAATAATTTATCTCTAATTTATTATGTAAATAATACTTTAAAAAAATATCTGTAATTTTATTAAATCTCAAGAATATATGTAATTTATCCATAAATATTAATATATGTATATATCATTATTCTGGTTGAATGGCTCTATTAGGCCTAGACGGGCTTGCGTCCGGGCTCGGGAACTGTGTTCGTTACAGATACAGCCACTACAACAGCAGACATGTTCCATGTGCATTGTTATTTGGGGAAAAAAAATAAGATCTTACACAAAGATTTACCTAAAAGACTATATATAATATGAGAGTGTGTATAATAAAATTATTCACTACGCTTCCTATGATTATGACTGTTCATATTGAATTTTAGACTCGTAAGTAGTGGTAACCCAGATTTTGTTACTCCATCCTTCCTAAATTAATAGTCATTTTTGAAAATTTAAATTTTTTAACAAGACTTAATCGTTACCCTTTAAATTCAAATTTTAAAAATAAAATTAAAAAAATACCTTTCTATTTTCATTTTTTAATATTTTATAATTATTTTATAAGGAATGATTTTTAAAAAGATTTAAATTTAAATTTTGATTTTTCAAAATCAACATGGATTTGTCACGAATAGCGATTTCCAACCGCTGTGTCGGAGGACCAAATATATGAAGAAATCACAGGTGAAAAGTTTGACTACGAACGTTGCAACGCTCTCTAGAAAGGGATTGTTGTCATTTTAGGACGGAAAATGTTTAAAACAACACATCTAGTGTTGAAAATATTTATAAATAATATATAAAAATATTTTAAAATATGTTAAAAAAAATTAAGAGGTTGTTCGGAATTATCTGAATAAATATATTTTTTTAATTTTTTTTATAAAAAAATAAAAAAATGATATGATTAAAAAAATAAAACGATAAAAAATATGTTATTTTAATATTTGCCAAACAAGCTCTAAATGTGACATCAATTATATATTGAGATTATAAATTTTTTCACTTCTTCTTGCGATTGATAGTGGCAACTCTTTTGCCAATTGCCAAACCATACTGTCCAAAAAAATGTATAATTTTATCACAAAAAATTATAATATTAATTACAAAATACATAACTTCTGCACAAATTAACATAATAAAATATTTAAAATTTTATAATTCATGCTACAAGTTTGTGATGTAATTATGATATTTTTTATTATATTAATTTATGAAAATATTATATATTTTATAATTAATTAATATTATAAATTTCCGTAATAAAATTATACATTTCATTATGAACGATTATCCGTCCGCTTGGATTTATTGGTTGCCAAATGCCAACCACATCCCCATGCATTAAGCTGGCGATACTACAAATAAAGTTCCTTAAATGCCCCTGTTAAATTACTTAAATACCCCTAGCAGCGAATGACTAAAAACACCATCATCACAGACGAATATTTATCCGTTTCTGCTTGGTAATGCGAACCCAACTCTTCTTCTAACGTTCAAATTTACAGATTTTTCAAACCGCCCATTTTACCCTCGATATCCAATTCCAAAAAAAATTTTAAAAAAAAACGATGCAAGGGGTTTTAAAGCCTATTTTTGGAAAGTGAATTTTTTTATTTATTAACTTATTATAAAAAATATACAGAAAAAAAAAAAAGAAAGATAATATGACAAAATAAACTAATAAATCAATAAATTTACTTTTTTGCATGTTGCCAAAAAGAGTTTCGGTAAATTGACATTACCTGGTGTTTGGTGATGGGCAGAAGGTGATGAGATAGTCGGCACCTGCACATGTGAACGTGCTGGTCTTGTCATCATAAGCATAACTATAAGCACTCGGACACGCACTCTTAAACAGCTCCGAATACGACGACGGTTTACACGTGTCGGGCGTACCGTATGCGCCGCTACAACAGTACTGCGCTTGTCCAAACGCTTCGCACGCGCTCTTACACGCCACGCTCTCTCCGTCCGAACTCGTCACTTTCAGCTCCGACGGACACGCGCCGTTCAAGTCCACCTCGCATCCCGTGGTTGTACAATTCACTCCGGTCCCACCCTGAGGCACCACCAGCATCGGAAGGTTGTACCCATCGACTAAGCTGACGTCATAGAAGTCCAACCCGCCCGACCCGTCGAGAGTGAATTCTGCCAGCGTGGCGGGTGGGGCTGCGTTGCCGCCGGCGCATTCTAGCTGGCCGGAGCCGCAATCGCCTGTGACGCAGGTGAACTTGCCGGTGGAGTCTTGGGTGCAGAGGGTTCGACCCCATAATCGGCCTCCCCAAGAGGAGGGTGGGTTTATGGTCTTTGACTCGCCTGTTTGGAGAGAGAAACCGGTGGTGGAGAGAGGTGCGATTCCGGCGTTTGATAGAATGCCTGGCCAGACTGTGTAGTCGCATTTGTTTACGAATGTGAATGTTGTTGATAATACTCCTGCAAATTAAAAGACAAGTAGTCAAATCAGATTGTGAACATGAAATGAAATGCTAACATTTTGATTTATTTTTGGTTGTTGTTGTGGTTGGTTTTTTGAGTTTTTTTTTACCTGATATGAAGAGTTGGAGGATTGTGAATGTTAGTACTGAAATTAATAGCCAAATTTGAGCCATTGGGCCTGTAATATATAGCCAAATTTATATATGATATGTATGAGAAGAAAAGAAGAGGAAGAAAAAGAAGAAGAAGAAGGGGAATGGAGAGGGAAGAAAATCCCAAATTCTTCTTCTTCTTGCTGGGGAATTGGTTCAAGTGAGTGAGATTCTAGGAGGTAGGGGATAATGCGGTGTATATATGAGTGGGTTGGGCTGTGGGGTGTTAAAGAAAGAAAATGTTGTGGGCCCATAGTGCACTATTAGCTGTTGTAGCCTAGTAAAAAATGGCGTCTCTTTGACATTTATGGGTTGGTTTGGACCCGACTCTACTCTACTATCTTGTTATGTCTTCTGCTCATATTGCAAAGTCAGATTTAACAAACAAAACTATTAACGTCACTAAACACGCATAATAAACGCATGCATATATGGATTGTGTGCTCTTGGACTCATATATCGGTTTGGTCTTGAATTTTCAAAAATAATTTTTAAAAATTTTAATTTATATTTTTAATAATTACATAATATTTTAATTAATTTTTAAATCTACTTAATTTTAATTTATTTAAAAGTAAAATATTTACACAAAAATATTTAAAAAATTTATTGAATATAACAAAATAAGAAAATATATTAAATTTTTGTATTTTTTGTATTTTTTTGTATTTGGTAAATTTTTTAAAAAAAATTCACAAATATTATACTTTTTAAATGTATTTGCATTAGGTGTATCTAAAAAATAAAAATAAAAAAATTGTATAAAATGTTAAAAAAAATTTACTAAAAATAAAGAACTCAATTTTCTGGAACCAAACATTACTTTCCAAAATACAAAAACCTCGCAATGGATGTCGGTGAGTAAAAATTGTGTGTAAAAATTATTTAGTAAGTTTAATTTATAATTATAATAGTGTAGGTGTGTAAAACTCAAGTTGTGTGTAGGATTATTTTATTGGATAGATTAGTAATTAAATTAATTTATATAGGTCATTTATTAATATCAAAGAATTAGTTATGAGATAACATTATATTTCCTATTACTTAGATGGGTAATTTTGTAACTTTGAGAAATTAGGTTAATAAGTTCATCTATTGTAGCTTTAAGTCTTGGAAAACAAACAAAACAAAGGCTGTGAATTGCTCCATAGGCTGTTAGGGTTTGAGAAGGTAAAAGAAAAAAGAAAAAAAAAAAAAGAGAAGAGAGGTTCAAGTGAGGCTACAATAGGGATTGGAGGCAGCATGTTGGTGATTTTGGAACACCTATTGGTTAAGGTAAAATCTGTCTTTACTGTTAATTATTAAGTTTATGTTGAGAAATTTAACAATCAATGTATTAAAGGGATTTGGAAGATGTATAGGTGCCTACTTAGGTTTTTAGAATTGGGTGCAATGTGTAAGTGTAACTTTGGGTGGGCAATAGAAACAATGGAGTTTTGTATCACGGGTAAGGGTGTGTTTGGCTATAAAATTGGGTTGAATGGTTTGATCTCTTAGATATTAAAGCAATACATTAATTTAATATAGTGGGGCTTTTGTGGGTGTTTGTAACATGTAAAAAATATTAATTTATTTGAGATTTTATTTATTAGGTTTGTGTGATTGAAGTGGTGGAGCTGGGTGTTTGGAGTTGGTGTTGGAATATTATTTCTAAGCATTTGGTGTAAGTAACCCTCTATCACTGTTGGTTCATTTTTATTCCTATCGAATCGTTTAAAATCATAAATATTTATTTATAGCCTTCATGTTCTCTTAAAATAAAATATGGGTCAAGTATAAAACATCATCGAATATTATTATAAAGTTATTTGAATATTTTGTGAAACTATTCTGAAAATTGTACCAAATGTTTATTCCGAAAATATCGAATATTTTATTTAAAAGTTGTGTATTGTTTGAATTTTAAACATCACTCTAGTCTGACCATGATTTGAACCCTAGCCAATGGGGGTTATTTATTGGCACAGAAACTAGTTTTCTTTTGGGTCATACCACTGGCCTATGTGTGGTTCTGAGTTTTGTCACAGGCTAAGTGACCGTAGTCATTAAGATTTGGGTTTTGTGAATCAAATCATTGAACCATCTGAATATCGAACCATCGATTTGAACAACGAATTACTTTGAATTATCTTGTTGGCTTTTCATTTAAAATGTATGGTACTTTATTTATTTTTAGCTATGAAACCATCTTACAAATAATTGTTCATTTATTGTACCGTAGAAAAAAATTATATTTATTGGTTATCAATTTATTTATTTATTTTTTGTATACTTGATCCAGCTAGCAATGATGGTTAGTTATTTACTAGGCTGTCTAGTTTTCCCTTATTTTATTTTTCAGATTCTGAGGAGTAGAGCTGCGCGGGGTTTTTACTTGTGGGAGTGCCTGCCGAGAGTAAGACTATGATTTAAGTACTTGGATCATTATTATTATTATTTTTATTAGTGAACTTGGTGGACAATTTCATATGATAAGAATTATCTATTTATATGGTTTTTAGCATTATGATATTTAAAGATTTAATTTGAGTATTTTACATTATTGGTTATGTGTTGGACTCTTAGCTTTGAATGCTTACTTAAATGAGTGTGCGGCGTCGTCACGGAGCTTGGAGCGTGACAACGTGTAGTGGCGTTTGGTGTGATTTGTGAATAAAATTAAAATTAAATTATAAATAGCAAATTCACAAATTTATCATGCAGATTGACCAATTTATTATCTGTAATCAAATTGCGGTTTGAGCGATTGGAAAGTTTCAACTTATTGTTGATTAATGAATAATCTTAAATAATTATTAAACATTTACATAATATATAATATTAATTTGTATAATATTTTTTATATATATTACACTAACTAGGGATGTGCACAATTCAAGCAGTTTGAGAATAAAATCATATACCAAACAGTGAATAGCAAATTGACAAATAATCAAATCGTGGTTTGTGACAGTTTCAATTTGCTAATTGATTGAAGAATATTCTTAAATAATTATCAAATAATCGCATAACATAAGGTTTATTACACATCCTACCCCTAAACTATCGCCAAATTATCTACTCAATTCTTAATCTATTGATTGAGTCTACTAAGTCCCTAAAATACATAAATCAAAAGCAATTTAATCCCTAAACTATTAATTAAATTTATTAAATCTCTAAAATGTTTAATTCAAACATGTTAGTCCTTTAAAAAAAAATTTATTCTAAGAAATCTTAAAATTTTATTTTGTATTTAAAAAATATTTTATGCTACTGTATATTTAAATTAGTATCAAAGTCTAATTCATCGAGTTTACCAATAAAATTATAGGAGCATGGGATATATCCAAAAAGTAAAAGGCGGTTAAGTTATAAATTCAAGTTTGGATTTCTCAAGTCTAAAAGTCTATAAATTCAGTTTTCAACATCGATCGCGACATCACTTTGGCATCGCTTTCACCGTCGGCCTCGGCTTGGGTTTCACACCACCGGCCAAGGCAACTTTCATCACCACCACCGTCTCTCTTCCTTCTCTGACCTCCTTCACACCACCGGCCAAGGCAACTTTCATCACCACCACCGTCTCTCTTCCTTCTCTGCCTCATCTGCATCTCTCAGATCTACCATCTCCTTCATCTCCGGATCCAAAACCACTAATCCGCTGCTGTCTTCGCCTCCTCTCTCCTGTTTGTTGAGTTTGGTTTTGATTTTTGGTACTTCTGTGCAGATTCTTAGATCTGTTCACTGTGTCAATATGAGAATGAAAATAAAAATTTATTGTTTTGGTTTTGTTGGTTCAGTTTGTTAGATCTGTTACAGATTTGTTGTTTGGTTATGATTTGTTATAGATCTCTCTCTCTCTCTCTCTCTCTCTCTCTCTCTATATATATATATATATATATATCTGTTGTGTTTTGTGATTGATTTTTGCCGAAATCTTGCTGAGAAGACGGATAATGAAGGTTTTTTTAAAAATAGATCTTGATAAATTGAACAGATAATTTGATATGCTTGATAAGCTTGATAAATTGAACACATAGTTTGGTATGCTTGATAAGTTTGTAAATTTCAATAGATAATTTGATATGCTTGTTAAATTGTAACAGATAAAAAAATAAACAAATAAAAATTGAATAAATAGATAAAAAAAAAATTGAACACATAAAGAAAATGAACATATAGGAAAATAATTTGAAAAGATAGATACAAATTTGAACCGATAGAAAATAATCTAACAAATAGATATAAATTTAACAGATACGTTCGAACAAATTGTACAGGTAAAAAAGATTTGAACAGATAAGTTAAAGGATAAAATTGAAAATAAAGTATCCTCCAAAACAACAAAAATAACTTCTCACCAAACTATTTTTCAAAATATGAATTTCTTACTAATAAAAAATATCTACTGAACCCAATATTTACGCAATTGTTAGATTAAATTTTTTAATAATTTTTTTAAAATAAATTAAATAATTTAAATAAAAAAATATTTGAGACCTTGATAAATTTTTTATAATTCAATTTAACTCATAATAATGTAATATGAGAATGGAGCTTTGCTCGACTCGGTGGAAAGGAGATGGGTAATCCACTGAGTGGGTCCACGTAGCAAAACAGGACCACAGATAATAATATTTTAAGTAGAATATTTACATTTTCAAGAGTGAGATACCTATGCATCCTTCTTTTGTCTATTTGGGAAAGAGGAAAGATAGGGATTATGAAAAAAATTTTATGAAATTGATCATGAAAAATTTATGACTCTTAAATTACCTTGATTAGTATGTGGTGTTTTATTTTAAGTGTAATCCAAGAGTTATGAATCTTTCATGATCATTTTCATGAAAATTTTTTCATGATACGTAGCATTGCTCATTTGGGAAATCAAAGCATAAATGCCTCTCTGTTTTTATTTTGTCCACATGGGACTACAGCCAAAACCCTCCCTATTCTACCTCTTTTCTTCCAATATTAACCTTGAACCTAAGAATTATAATGCAGTAAATTATTTCAACACAAGAAACTATTTCTAATTATACAATAATCTAGTCTAAATTATTAAATTTTAAAGACAGAATTTCTAGAAGTAAACAAAAGTTTTAAAAAAACACTAACTTGCAAACACTAAGCTTTAATTGGAAATTATCTAGTCGATAGCACGGAAATCTTCAAGTCCAAACAAAATATTTGTTCAAGATTCA